GCTATGGGTCGGAACCAACTCGATGGCACTTCACAACAACAACATTCTTTTTTGGGTCAATTTCGTTAAAACTAAGATTATTCATTTCTCTGCTGTAGGTTGGTGTTCTGTTTTATATCAGCAGTAATAATGTGAGAAGGGATTTCCTGTTTCACAGACAGGCTAGAAAAGAACAATATGGTAAGGATGCTGCGGCCATGGCCTCAGTAATTGATGGCGAACATGGAACAAGGAGAGGCCCAGCATCTTCAGATGCTGATTGGCTTCTTTCCAGACCTGTTCTGGTTCAAAGATTTTTCATAGAATATCAGTGCCATTTAAAGATGAACTATAGGTAAGATGTCTCCTTCCATGGACAATTTAAGCTTATGAGTTAAATTTCAGGTATGATTAGTTCTTATTTTGCAAATATGTTTTGCAAGAATTTGTTCAGCCTGAAAATCACTTCTAAGCTAAGGAATGTTTTTATAATTTTATGTATAGAAATGAAGGAGATATATAAGTTATTTGGTGTCCTGGTGTGGTGCTGTGGGTTAATATGCTGGACTGCAAAGTTAGTTTAAACCACAAGGTCGGTGGTTCAAATTCACCAGCCACTCCTCAGAAACCCTATATAGGGTCGCTATGGGTCAGTGCTGACTCAATGGCACTCAACAACAACATATAAGCTGTTATTGTAGATTATAATACTAATTTGAGAATCTACTATTACAAGTTACTAATTAGATAAGAGTCCTGTTGTGGCACTGTAGGATAAGCACTAGACTGATAACTGAAAGGTCGGTGGTTCAAGCCCACCAACCTTTCAGTTAGCAGTCTTGAAAACCCTATACAGGGTCACCATGAGACAGCTTTTAACAACAACAACAGCATTTTGATAAATGTATTGCTAGTGGCTAAGAAGGAGGGGCCAGCCCATGGAGAAGGATATCATGTTTGGTAAAATGGAGGGCCAGAGAAAGAGGAAGACTCCCAATGTGATGGGTTGGCATAGGACAGCAGCAATGGATTCAAATGTAGCAATGATTGTGAGGTTGGCACAGAACTAGGTAGTTTCATTCTGTTGTGCATAGGATTGCAATGAGTCAGCACCAATTCAATGTGACTAAGTGACTAAGGAGTCCTGGTGTGTGCTCTAGGATAAGCACTCCACTGTAAGGTTGGAGGTTCAAACTCACCAGTCTCTCCTCAGAAGCCCTATACAGGGTCTCTGTGAGTCAGAACCGACTCCACGGCACTTAACAACAAGTGACTTTAAGACATTTGTCTTTATAGCAAATTGTTCCTTTTTACATATCCCAATGTGTGAAATAACTCAAGAGCAACAGTGGAATGAGGATTGGCATGAATATTTCTCTAGAGTAGGTTCTTGATCCCAATGCCTCCAGGAGTTTGAACCAGATTTGAAGGGTCTGGTTTAATTTTATCGTGGAGTTACAGCACTGGTTGTTGTAAAATAAATCCTTGTTGAGTGGAAGTGAATTGTACTTTAACTTATTCAAGCTAACTGGACCAGTCTAGGTTAGGACAGCTTCCATAGCAAACCAGCCTTCTGGGTGGGCCTTGGCTTTATACAAAGCTCAGCCTGGGGAGAAAAGCATGTTGTTGTTGTTGTGAAGTGCTGTCAAGTCAGTTCCGACCCATAGTGACCCTGTATAGGGTTTTCGAGGAGCAGCTGGTGAGCTTGAACCGCCAACCTTGCAGTTCAAACGGTTTTACAGTCTGGCGCATTAACTCACAGCGCCACACCAGGACTCTGGGGAAAAGTATAAAGAAGTTTAATGTCCTAGACTCACCTTTCAGTTAGCCATCACCATAGTTATAGTCCCTCCAGGTACCTCAGTATAAACTCCATCAGCCTCCATTCCACTTACCTTTCCCTCAACAAAGCACAACAAAGACAACATACTGACAGGCCTTTAGCAAATGCGCTCTTCTTTATGAGGAAAATGAAACTTTTCTTCTAGTTCTACTATCTACTTACATCTCACAGACACAAGTTGTTTATGGGAAGCCCTTCTCTCCTTGGTCATAATTCCATTTTAAGAGAGACTTAACAAGCCCCTAGATATTTATGCTTAATGCTTGAAATGACTTTAAATGTGAAATCTCAGAACAGGTAGATATCTTGGCAAATCTCAAATAATAAAAATAAATACCATCTTCTCAGTCGAATTCGGAGTTGCCTCTGCTCCTGTGGTGTAGAATCCAGATCTCCAGAGTCATTATCCAACGATACAACTCCCTCACCGACTGACTTTTACTCGGAACAGTTCATTAAGTCAGATCTTTTATTGCATTAAAAACAACAACAACAAAAAGCTACACCTAAACTCAGCAGCCATTTTTTTTTTTTTTTTTGTGACTGGCTATTATTTTGAATGGCATTTTGAACTTTATTTAGTTCATTTCTGTAAATGTTGGTACTAACAGCATCACAAGACCAATTGCTATAATAACATCAACGTCAAATATCTCAGTAAATGTATCATTTTCATATTTTATATTGTGTTTGACCTCTGCAAAGCCAGTAAGATTCAGGATGTGAGGTCCAGGTCACTGAAGAGATTACATTAGCATCTAGCCCTTGGTGGGATGCATGGCTGCCAGAGAAATTCACAAGGAGCCTAGAAGTATTTGTCTTCCTGTGATCCATTACAGAAAACAAGCAACTGGACTCTGTGATGTCCTTTTATTGCCTGATGTTTAAATACTGCTAGTGAAACTTATCCAATTTAACGTGAATTATACTTTTAGCTCATTACTGAGGTGCAGGGTTTTTCATCCCACTAAAATGTTTCCATGCCCAAAATGAAATGTTAAAAATAGGAGGAAAGATGCTTAACCATGGCCATGTGATGGACCACATTTTTATGAATATTCTATGTGCTTCCAAACATCATCTGCATACTTAAACTTTTATCATTAACATGTTTTGAAACTGAGATCCTAATCTTGGACAAACCTGAAAGATCAAAGGTTTTTCCAGTTTAAAACTAAGATCTGTTTTACCCAGATTTTGTTCTGGGGACATGAAGAGAAAACAACCCCCAAGCTTTGCTGTCTTTAAATTGTGTAGCACAACAGGTAGATAACCAATCATCTGGCTTATCTGTTCTAACTGCATTATATGCAAAAAATACCTACATCATATCTACTATGTAAATTCAGATCTACCTCCTGGAGATTCATTCTTCCTATTGTCAGCTGAATTCTCTGTCAAATCTTCAATCCTTGTATCAAGCAAGCAATCCTTATATCAAGGTGGCTAAAAAAAAGTTTTGTATTTACAAGTTACGCCTTCTGATCTATGTCTCTAGTTGGAAGAGAACTGGTTAAGATTACCTAAGCACCACAGGTTATATTGATCTGCAGAACAAGAGGTAATTACTATGTGGTTGGACCTTTTAAAATATACCACTGTTGGACTTTCAGTATTAATAGTGTTAATATCTGAGCCAAGATTATATTCCTGTGCCCCCTTTATTTTTTTTCTTTTCCTTTTAGAGGTTCACAGTTGCAAAGTAAATCTAACTAAAATTAACCTGCCTTCTCTTCTGATAGAATTTTTACCGCGATTGCATATGGAGCTATGGCCATTGGAGAAACACTTGTTTGGGCACCTCAACATTCCAAAGCCAAATCAGGGGCTGCACATCTGTTTGCTTTGTTGGAAAAGAAGCCAACCATAGACAGCTACAGTCAAAAAGGGAAAAAACCAGTAAGCATAACTATGATTTTAGAAAAATATCTATTGTAAATTGTACATATACATTCTTTGTAAATTGAGACTTAAATGAAGACATTATTTGATAACTTTGCTAACGATACTATTGTAATAACATAAAGAATTCATTATATAAGGTAGTTATGATTACAAATGGAAATAG